CACCCTTCGAATAAAACAATTTTCTTTAGCAAAGTGCTTCATCCTGAATAGTTACCATAGTTTTACAGTAGAAAATGAAAACCTGCATATGCGCGAATGTGTCGTAGGAGTACAAAAAGAAAGCTCTTACTTTTTCCAGTATTAGGCCAGTAGCTTGAAAAGTGTTGTAGCTTTTACGAATCCATTTTTGAGCCATTTGAAAGGCCTGAAAATTCAAAGGATCCAGAAATTCAAACATTTCTTGCCGTGCGCTTCTATTTTCTACTGCTCTCCTGCTTCTTTATTAACATCTGTATTTGATAGACATTCCTGCGATTTCCAGGATATAGCAAAATGCGTTGTATTTATTATGCGTCTTTTGCAACTTTTGCAACTATGCAATGCAATGCAAAAACGCATGTTGTCGAAGGGTTGTCTGTAGGTATACGTCTGTGATGTGTGTCTGTGTGTTTGTCTGGACCAATTTTTCATTTCAAGACCTACAAAAACTGCAAGGCGCGATAGCTCAAACGAACTCGGAGATGTTAAACTGGCAACTTTTTCAACTGCTTTAATCAGTGACACATTATTTTAGTGGTCAGTGTGCTGCTTACTCCCTTCCTCCATTCAGCTGTTTTAGTCCGATAAATCTGAATGCCAATCGTGCTGATAAAGTTAACATGGAAGCCTGTCAACGTTTGTTAGAGATGAAATTTTTAGCAGTAACAATTGCATACCCTCTCAATCTCTGCCACAAACTGTAATGCACTTTTATTGCCCTCTCAATCCCTGCTCCTCTTCGAAATGTGTGGTGCTGAACCGACTATAGGCCCCCTCAATCTCTACACGAACTGCTTTGTATTTCCATTACCTCCTCGATCTCTAGCATTCTCTCTTCTTTTAGACAAAAGTTACAGAAGAGAACTGGAGATTGACATGGCGATGAAATATAGTGCAATTTTTGGCAGAGATTGAGAGAGCACGCGAAATATTGCAGCAGCTTTGATTGCGTAGGGTGAGAGGGGGATTCTTACTTCTAGCCCAGGTGTGTTGGATAGGGGCCAATGTGCGAGTGTTGCAGGCATTTTTTATGCGTTTTTTGCAGCAATGCAGTGCGAAAAACGCATATTGACGAGAGGTTGTCTGTGTGTCCGTA